TGTTCTCTAAATAAGAGAACTCCCCCCATCTTCCCTCAGCAAACCACACTCACAATAACCACCCGAATGCAGATCTAGAAATGCCTCAGAACCAACTGATAATACAAAAGCTCAACTTGTCCCCCTTTTGGGGCCACAAAATAAACAAATAGACATTCTAATATGTTTATTCTCACATCTCAATTGACTCACCTCATCTCACTTTGTAAATTACTGATAAAGGGGCATAAAGCTTCACAATCTATATTAAGGTGCTGAAGGTATGATAGTTGAAGCTTGTGGGGTGATACGATTAGACAAAATACTCAATAAATGCTCACTAAACTGAATCAATATTATTCAAATGATGGCTCTAAGTCACCAAAAATAAGTTAAATTATGTATGGTATATCACACTTAAATAAACAACAGTAATCCAAAATTATGTTAGGATATCTACAAATTCCATTCAGAAGAATGTAGATTCAGAATGATTTATTACCAGGGTTTCCAGTCACCATGAATTCTACAGTTACTTTCAATTTTTCCCCCAGAACAGTGGAATTCTTAAAAAGTATGTATAAGAAGCATTTTAGTGTAAATAAAATATGTATACTAATATAAATTTATGTATAAAAGGCACACTAAAATGCTTCTTATACATAAAATACTTAGTTTACAGTTCCTCATCATGAAAGTTAATAGAGACATCACTTTATCCACTAATTTAAAATAACCTCTGGCTTTAGTATTAAAAATAATTTTCATATTTAAAATAACAATAGAAGCAGACATCATAGACTTCATAATTTAACTTCACATTATTAACAGTAGTCATAGTATATAATAAAATAACATTTACTTTTTTCCATAATTAACAAAACAAGTAATGTTTCATGAGTTAAGTAAGTCATTCAAAAGTGCTTAAATGCCTATTCTGTTTTAGGAATTATAGGAGAATACTGGATATAAGACAAGACACTATATCCATTCCAATTTCACATTGTATAAGAAGAATGTCAAGTACACTAACAGAAAGTGGTCCACAGGAAGGAAAGCTCACTGTGGAATAGAATGAATTAAAAACCATTTTTACATAAGAGTATATTAGTGGAGGTGAGACTCAGAGCTAGACAGTAAAAAGTACCCAAATTTGAGGGAAAATAATTTATCAATTGTTTCCTTAACAAAAATGCCTAATTCAGATCACGAAATAATCACATTTAAGTTACACAATTTAGAAAAACATTCTAGTCAAGATACATTATTTATTAAACTGTTCATCAAGTTACACACTATATATACACAGTACTAATCTACTCTTCAGCTTTATAAAACCTCCAAAATTTGATTTGAAATAAGAGCTCCAGCAAGAGAAATAAAAAGAGTTGTAAGTAAAGGGAAAATCTGGGGCAGTAGATCTATAGACTCTTTCTTCAAAGTTAAAATTTTTCTATTCTCTCAATCTTTTTCAAGCATTATATTTCCTCTGGTGTGCTCTACAATATGTCATTTTACTTTAACTTGGAGAAGTGATAAAAGTTCACTTTGAATGGAAATACATTTCAGCAATTTCCTGTCCACCAGAGGGCTCCAATATTTCTTCCACAAATGGAAAATATATAACACTACAATAAAAATATTCATTAAGCAATGAAAAAACTCATTTGTCATTATCTCATTTAACCCCAGACTAAAAATTGTATATCTGCTACGATTTCCATATTAATAGTTTTAAAAGACACACAGCTTTTCTTACACTGTTGTATTATTTAAAATGTTTCAAATACTAAAATTAGCTCAGCCATTATTCTCAATACTAATTATCAATTTCTCTTAGAGCTTTCAATTTTATAGACACAATAAAGTATAATTTTGGTCCAATGTTCTACATAGTAGCTAAATGTTATGTGCATTTTTTTTAATAAATGCCATAATTTCTTGATAATTTTCTTAATCCAGAAACAAAACTAGCACCTTATCTACCCAGACTCAGGTAGATTTCTATTACTAACAAAAAGAGTTTACAGAAAACAGTCATTTTCATGCATGATACAATTATTAAAAATGACTATTAGACTATGATCTGGACTGAGGAAAAAACAAGGGAAATGAATTATTTCAATACAATGTGTTAAAAATGATATCCTCAGGTTTTTGGTTGGTTTTTGTTTTTTTTTTTTTTTTTTTTTTTTTTTCACAAATATTACACTGTAGTGTTAGTATATCTTAGTTCAAACTCAATCACTTACAGCAAAAGACAAGCAAGTATTTTATGTAAATATATTTATATTATTTACAGACATATATCTATTTGCAGAATGTTAATGGGAAAAGAGCCAACCCCACATTTTTTAAGAGCACAGCAAGTACATTCACTGGGGATGCCCTTCCCACTCCAGAAAGATCAATTTGCTAAATTTGAATTATTAAAAAATGAGATTTCTTATAATAAGCACTAAAATTTATTGAAAGTTTGAAAATAGTTACGTTTACAAAAAAAAAAAAAAGAAAAAAATCTAAAATGAATCACAATCTAGCCACAGGAAGACTTTACCAAAATAATCTATTGATTTAGTAATTACTGTAGCTCAAGAATGAATTATGTCTAATGGAAACTTGACAGGAGTTATAACTTCACCACCCCAGCTCATCTCCCAAAGAGGCCTTTCCTGTACAACCCAGAAGCATCATTAACATGTAAAAGAGCCTAACATTTGTTTCTAAATAGCACATACTAGTTGTCAACAGTTAGAAACTTGAATATTTTAACTGCACCTAGCAAATATATGTATTCACACAAGAATGCATATCCTGATAGTTATACTTCAAGGGAAATGTCAGATTGTGGTGAGAGGTGGGGGTGGGAGGCTGAGGCTTTTCAAGATTCAGAGTGATGAAACTATTCTTAAGTCATGAGTGTACTTGCAAATTGTCGATTATTGATATGTAAAGCTTAACAAAAGTGAAGCAGTTAACTGACAACTTCTAACCATTACCATGTTATATTTCAAAAAGTTGAGACTCCTAGATCCCTATCAAATGAAGGGACTTCTTGACCAAAACTGAAATGTAATAGGAAATGAACATTTAAAGGTTTTAACACTGGGGGGGTAAAAAAAACCCTCAAAGACTTCCAACAAGTTGAACAGCAACAGAATGATACATAAAAATATTCAGGACAATCTAATCTGGGCTGTACTTTAAGACAAACTTTGAAATAGCATCATCGGGGTATTATATGTTTATTACATAATGCTGCTTTGCCCTTGCATATCACCTTTAATCAAGGGATCTCAAAGCACCACAGAATCAAGGCCTTAAAATACAGTCTGAAATAAAATAATTATATTTTATAATTGCAGCTATTAGTAAGACCTTGCCACTACTTCTCAGTCCCCTGATTTGAACATTAGGCTCCAAACCATCTCTCTAACTTGGAAACAGTATTCCCCAAATCTTTTCAATTCATGACTGATGCTAATGCACATTTCAGCTTTTCTTCATCACTGGGCCTAAAGAAAGTAGTAGCACTGTTTTAATGACACAAATCTATTTCACTGCAACTTCTATGCCAGAATAAATAGTACTTATGGTGAACATATTCTGCAGCGTTTGCGATGAAATAAAATGGAGGCTTTACAGAGAACAATCTTTGCTGGAGGTGATGAGCCCACAGAACACTCATCAAACAAGAGAAACAGCATTTTCCAGCTCAGTACAGAGACCTCTCCAGGGAACTTCAAGAATAGTGTAGAGGAAACCAAGTCCAGTCATTCTTAAGCAGGCAAAAGAATATTCTCAAATGTGCACACCAGAAGGGAAGGGAAAACTAAAAGGACAATGCAAGAGTTTTAAGACTCAGGAAGCAGAGTTTAAGGTTGCTGTGTGAACCACAAGAGATAATGTGTTAAATGGGGTATCAAACATAAGGAAACGTCTTTAAGCCAAGGTCAAAATAGGCCATTAAGAATCATTAGATTTTATTTAAAGACTGTAAACGAGGTTCGCTCCTATAGATACATCTGACATCTTAAAAATTAATCAGCAAAGTTAAATTTTGTTTTTCACCCAAATACACACACGCAAATGTTAATGTTTACGTGAGTAAACTATGTTAACTTGAATTCTTTCATAAACAAGATTATTCATCTTCCTGTTAATTGCATTACGCTTGTCCCTAGGACTGCAAAGTGTAATTTCACACTCACACAAACCCACCTCCCTGCGCTGTAAGCCTACAGTAACTGTTAGTCAACAGACTTACAGCCTTACCCTTTATAAACAAACAGAAAAGCGCCAATAAACAAGACTACTTTTTGTTTCAACTTCTCAATATTCAAAGATTAAGACTCAAAAACGTGTTTTATTAGATTTTGAAAGTTCATGGATGTATTACTACTAAATATCTGGCATTAAAAGTCCTGGCTTATTTATAAAAAGTACCAATATACAGTCAGCCCAGGTTTGTAAAAATTCCAAAACATCCTAAGATTTCTGTTGCCATACTTGGTTCACCCAGACATTTCTAAAGCCCACAGCCAATTCTAGTAGGCTTTTTCTTGAAGAGATATGCGTCCCGGTTCTTGAACATACCACGTTTGTAGCTACTGCATTAATGATCTCGTCAGTGTCGTAGAGCAAGATTCCCCTTTTCCTGTCTACCTATGTATCTAGTGGGGACACCCGTCCTCAGCTCTGCCCACTGTCACTGACGTTTTTAGAAGCTTTGAGAAACAAGCGCGGAAGGCTTCGAGCAATGAGGCTGATATTTTCTCCATTTCAAGCTATCTTGCTTCATTTCCCCTACTTCTCCATTGTCTAATGATTTAGAAAACACAACCAAACGAGAAAGGGTATCTTAAAAGCAGTACTTTATAAAAGCAGGAAACCCGACCTCTAACTTCTGCAAATCTCCCGGCGCCGTCTTTATGATAGCCCCCAGCAAACCTGCATCCTTTCTGATTAAATAAGATTGGAAACCACAATTAAATCAGTGTCATAACTTATCCTTCACTTACCATATCCGCCGGGACATTACTGGACATCTTGCCGTTTGATATATATACCCAGTTGTTTACGGGAAATGAAATACACCAGCCAACAACAACAACAACAAAAAAAAAGAGCAGAAGTCTTCAACTACACAAATAAACCTTTAACAATCTTGATTGGCTCGTGATGTGCTTTTCCAAAAAATAAGTTGCTTCGGAGCCCAAGTGCCGGCCTGGCCGAGGTTCCGTGCGAGGAGGAACAATCCCCAGGAGCTTGCGTGGCCGGAGCAGAAGGGAACTCCCGGGATGGCAGCAGCAGAGGCAGCAGCAGCAGCCCCCGTCGTCGTCAGCAACAGCAGCAGCCCCAGGACCGGCCGCGCCAGGTGGACCCAGTCGAGTGACACACGGACATGGAGCGGGGTGGGAGGGGGTTAAATCCGCCTTCCTCCTTTCCCAGTGATTCACACTTACTCCCGAGTCAAGTCCTCATGAAGCAGGAAGAAAATGCCCCGGTGTGGATGCGCATAGATAACTATGTAGCTACACATGGGCGCGTGAGCGGGGACGGGCGGCCGCGCGCGGGCCGCAGCCGGGGACGGCTCCGGGCACGACTCAGCGCGCGCGGCCGGGGCCGGGAGCCGGGCCGCGGAAACCCGCGCTCAAGGGCATTTAACTAGTTGGGAGCCAAAGCGAAACCGGGGGCGGAGAGTCGGCGGGGGGACGGCGAGCGCAGGACGCGCGGGGCTCGGGCCGGGAAGGGGACCCCACGGCCCCTCTGGGCTCAGGCCGCGGGCGCCGCCGGGCAGCAGCGGGTCTCGGGGCGCATCGTCTCCGGCTCCTCGGCGCTCCTCTCCGCCCTCCGCCTCCCCCGAGTCCGCCTTCCCCTCCCGGCCTCGCGAGTTCCTGGCGACGCCGACTTCGGCCGGTCCCCGGAAGAGGCCGGGTCCTCCCTCGCCTCAACCCGAGAACAGTTTCCTCTCAGAGCTTTGTCTCTCTTCCTCTTACTCCACTTTTCAGTACCCAACGCCGCAGCCGCCTCCTGTCATCGCCTCTCAAGCCAACATGGCGGCGGCGGCGGCAGCTGCTCGAGCGCTAGTCGGGGACGGAGGGAGAGCACGGCCCCCCTGCGCAGCCACCGCCCCCGCCCGCCCCCTCCGCGGACACCGAGCGCGTCACTACGGAGACCACCCTCGAGCATCACGGGAAATGTAGTTTACGCGGTGGGGGGGCAGGGAAGCAAGCCACCGAACAGCCTCTCCCCGCTCCGAAGCCACGCCCTCTCATGGCAACAGTTGCTATGAAAAGAAAGCGCGCTTGAGCCAAGCTGCCTCCCAGGAGTTAGGTGATACCTAGCAGGAGTGCTGTGATCCTGCGACTTGATTGGGGGAAATAATTCTGCACAGAGAAATTCCCTCTTGCACAGTATACCGAGTTGAAATATGGTTTAGCTGAAAACAGAGTCATTCTTTTTAATGACAGCACGCTCTCCACATCCTGCAATCTCAAAGCATTTTGTAGAGTGATTTCATCTAGATCTCCTCAACATTACATTTGGAAGATCAGAAGCAATCATTGATTTCCAATAAGGTCAGAGAAGTTCAACAGGAACAAGGATCTCATTAAGCAGGGGAAATGTTTGAACATGGTTCTTAAAGACCCAGGGCCATAAAGCTATAATCTAGCTAATTGAAATTACCAAAAACTGTATTAGATACAATGGTGTGTCTGTCATGTCAAACCCTTATTAGGAAATAGCTATTACAAACTATATAGGAATTCACCACTTTATCAGACTGGCCCCCAAATTCTACATATTCTCAAAATGTAATTAAAAAACATATATACCTGTAGTGATTAGCAAAACAGATCTTCCTTGTGGTGTGTTTATGCACCTCACTACCCATAAAAAATTGAAAACATTGCAAATTGAAAATGTTGACCGTGATCTGTCATTCACTCCCAATATTCAGCATCACATGAAAATATCCTACCCCTCTTTCTATTGGGTGCATATCACTCTAAAACCATCATAAAATGGAAAAATTGTAAGTCAGACCTTGATAAGTCCACAACCATCTCTACTGAGGTACTTAAATGAAGAATATGTCTGCTCCAGATTTAGGAACAAAGTGCAATAACCACAAAGTGCCATCTAAAATTTCTATTTGTTCTCCCTTAGTGTTTTGGTAGAATATTTGAGGTAGAGCAGTCTCAATAGGACACCTGTACAAAAATACCAATAGATTCACAGTCTGAAAACCACCTCTGCAGCCTACAGCTGTGTGACTTCATCTGTAAAACAGTCTTGCCTACCTTCCAGGGTAAAGTAAGGGAACTTGTGAGGATGAATTCATACATGGGAAATAAATCGCTTTGTAAATAATAATGCATCATTTGCTGTGAAGTGTTACTACTGATTCACCAGCAAACAAATGTGGCAGATATTCTGTTAGATGCCAGGAATCTAAAAATGAATAATCTAAGCACTGTCCTCAGGAAACATTGTCTGGAAGCCTATGTCATTCCCCACAGCAATCTCTTCAGTCAGGTTTGTCACACCAGGGTGGAAACTCATAGGACGTTTTGAGCACCTGCCTCTTGATTAGCCTCACTGGAGAAATTCTAAGCACTTCCAGGGGACCACATCAGCCTGTGGTGACTTAGGGTGGTAACCAGGGAAGAGGAAGATAGATCAAATTCCCAGGCAAACAGAAGGATAGAGAAGAAAAAAGGTCCAAATCTCACTACAATCAGGGTCAGGACTTTGCCTAGATAATTTCTGAGTCTGTAGCTACTTGGATTTCCTTGGTGCCAGGCAGTTGGTTGCTCATTCTTCATGATTAGCAACCACAGAGCTCTTCCCACCAGCCCTCCAGAAATATGTTGAAGTGCTTCGATTGATGAGTATAGAAGGAATATTGGAACACATTTTGGAGACACACAGTCCTCCACCTCATCCCTGGCTCCAAATTTTATCCACTGACTGCCCTGGCCAAGGATCTGCTAGGCTACTACCAGTAGAAAGGCTACTACCAGTAGAAAGGCTAGAAAAATAAGATGGAAGACTTATAAGCATCAACTCATACTTCCTCTGCCCATTGCCAACAGCCATAGGACAGGGGATGTATCCACCACCACTGCCTGCCCTGACATTGCTGACTGCAGATGTTGCTGTTTGTTGCCAGTTACCCTTTAAGAGGCTACATCTTTCCCAAAGGAATCACTGTACCTCCTTGTTGATTCTCAGTGAAACTCTTCAGTAACTCTTCTCTAATAAGGATAAGGAGTGAGGGAGAATGATAGAGCGCAGTTGTTGATTTTTCTACCCTCCACTCTTCACTGTTTCCCAACTCAGGCAGGTGAGATGGGAGGCCGCAGAAAGAGCCACCTATGCACAAAGGGTAAGGGCAATAATTTCCTCTTGAAATCATTAACCTATTGTCAAAATTAAGGTGAAGGAAGTAACTGACACAGCATTTTTGAACTAAGAGCATTAACTTCATGGAAATCCAAACACCTGGCTTTGTCACTAATTAGCTGGTGATTTTTGCCAAGACACTTTAACTCGCTGAGCCTCAATTTCTTTAGATTGAACTAAATCACTAAGGTCCCTTCTAAAGAGTCTATAAATGTCAAGTTCCAGAAGAATAGACCATGACACCCATGGCCTCTTAATGTCTCCTTGAGTGACTGTTCATGGGTATGAGGGTCTTTTATTTAGGAAGTGATGAAAATGATCTACAATTAAATTATGGTGATGCTTGTACAACTCTTTAAACATACTAAAAACCACTGAATTGTACACTTTAAATACGAGGATTTGCTTTTGATTTTTAAATACACATAATATAAATTATTTACCATCTTAACCTTTTTTTAAGTGTACAACTTAGTGGCATTAAATACATTCATTTTGTTGTACTGCCATCAACATTATTCACTCACAGAAATCTTTCTTTTTGCCAAACTGAAACCCCATACCCATTGAACAAACAGTTCTTCATTTCTCCCTCCCTCCAGCTCCTAATGATCTCCATTCTACTTTCCATCTTGATTAATGACTAGTCCAGGTTTCTTATATATCTGGATTATACAGTATTTGTCCTTTTGTGACTGATTTATTTCACTTAACATAATATCTTCAAGGTTCATCCATGTTGTAACATGTGTCAAAATTTTCTTCCTTTTCACAACAGAATAATATTTCATTGCATATGTGTATTACATTTTGTTTATCCATTCAGTCATTGATGGACACTTGGGTAGCTTCCACCTTTTGGTTATCACAAAATGGGTGGTACATTTTATGATGCACAAATTATATCTCCATGAAGCTGTTAAAAAATAAATCTCCCCTGGGTCTCCCCTGGTGGCGCAGCAGTTGAGTGCTGGGCTGCAAAGCTGCCCGCAGCCTCTGCAGCGCTGGTTCGATTCCCGGCCTCCAGCAAGGGTCCCACATGGTGAGCAGACCTCTCCTGCGGCTCCTACTGCTCCCCTCAGCAGTCTATTTCGTGGGTCTGCTTGTTCTGTTCCCCGCTCTGGCTCTGGTGAATTCTCTCACCCTCCCACGCTTCTGACTGTACCCAGTGCTTGTATAAATAAGTACATCTTTTAAATAAATAAATAAATAAATACATCTCCCCATCTATTTAAAGATTCTGAAACAATTCCCATCTCAGGATCATTCCTTAAGGGCCTTGTCAAGAAAACATGAATTTAAACTAGACAGAAGTATTACTTTCTATGAGACAGTAACATTTAATCAGATATTACTTTAGTTGATTTTCTCATTATACGTTCCATTGTCATTTATTAAAAATTTTGGAGTAGGGAAAGGCCACAGGAGGCACCGAAAAATCTGCAAAATGGCCATGAGGGAGGGAAGCTGGGGTGGTGGGAAGAGGGCATGTGCACCCCTACACTGGTGGGAAAGTGAAAACAAAGCATCGAAGATGATCTTTGGCACCTCCACCTCCACCTGGTTTTTCCAAGGCTGACCTGGTCTGCAGCCAGAGACCTAGATTTGCCCATTGAAGAGTGTCTGGGACCTCTCTGCATGGTCCTGATCCAGTGGTGAGGATGATCAAGTCTAGTCATGCCTAAAGTCCTTCTTTGGTTCCAGTGTAAGAGTCACTTCAAAGGCTTACTTTGTACTATATTTCCATAAAATTTTTACTCTGTCATTCTCATGAGAAAATCTTTACCAGCCTCCTAATATCTATGTGAAGACCCCTAACATGGAAGGGGTTTCAAGAAGTGTTAATTCTCTACCACAATCAGTTTACTGGCTTAGTAAAGACTTTACTCCTTCAGTCTTTACTTGTGCCAGAGCAGAATGAATGTATGTGTATTTGTAGCTTTGAGAATTGTGCTCTGAAGAAGTTTGGGACCCAAAGAATAAAACTGAATTGGGTAAGGCAAAGGAATAGATAGAACACAAAGGGCGATGATCTATTTTTACTTCTGAGGAGACTTGCACCCATGCACTGCAAATATGTCCTTTCTCTTTAACCCTATACTTGCCTAACAAGACATTCTCAACTTGATTCCCACAAGAGCTACTAGGAGCCATTTAAAAACAAGATACCTGGGCCCTA